TATAGATATAGATAGAGATATAGACAGAGATGTAGAAGTAGATATAGATAGAAATATAAATATAGAGGTAGATGTGGATCTAGATATAGAAATAGACACAGATGTAGATATAGACAAAGACGTAGATATTGATATATAGATGTATCCATACATCTTTCTTTCCAGCGCTGCAAAGGAAATCTTCGCAAAGCGAGGCTGTTGTGACGGGTAGCCACCCCGGCTGTTAAGCTCTGTATTGTACAACTCAAAGCGCTATGGCACAAATCCGTGGTGGATGTAGGCTGCGTATCCATACATACATACATACATACATAAATACAAAGCGAGGTGGACGATTCGAGCCGGGATCTCCCCCTCCTTGTTCAGCAATTCCGCCAAAGGGCAAGGCAAGAAAAGAGGTGCAGGTGCCCGGGTTGAGAGAGTGCAGCCTCAAGCAAGGGGAGTAGGAGAATCGGGCAGAGAGGCCACACTCCCTTGAACTGCTCACGGATTAAGCTGCTGGCTCTCTCTCTCTCTCTCTTCTTCCACACAGTCAAGGAAAGGGCAAGCAACCCCCTCCCGCGCGCGTACGCGCCCTGCAGGTCTGGTCTGTTCGTTTTCTATGACAGATGAAGCCCCCGTTTCCACAACTCCGCAAACCCCGTTTCGAACACTATGTAACCTCCAGGCCTCATCTTGTCTAGGGCTGTCGCCTGCTCTGTACTGCAAACTCGCCCTGTGTTGCAAAAAGACAACTGTGGGAACTGTGCCCCCGTCCTCCCCACGCGCAGCAAGATACTGAAACATGAAAACTCATATGTTCACGACTGGGGCACCCCCTGCCTGGCCCACAGGACGTGTTATCCTTTTTGGCACTGTGTCCCCTATGAACACACAACAAACATGACCCTAGAATGCAACACTCTCAGTAAACTTGCGACACAGTGCTGAGGCTCCGGCCGAAAAGACTAACTGGCGACTCCCCGGGCCCCCGATCACACAGCTTGCACTCTCGTCCCTCAGGTATATAGGATGTTAAGGTTGGGGGTTGCCAGACTCATCAAAGGCTCCAGCTAGGACTCGCCTTCGGCGATGTTCATGGTCGCTCTCAGGCTCTCCCCCGCTCAGCTCAGATCGTGCTGCTTGTAGTGCCTCTTCTTGGGCTTGTCTTTCGTATTCCTCCAGTGCCCCCACCAGTTCCTCGTCAGTGGGGAAGAGCGGTTCTTCCGATTGGCTGTCTGGCCCCCGGTCTGACGTGGGGATGCTGCCCTGCCATTGCTCAGCATTCAGCGGTGGGACCCATCGTGCTGTGTCCCCTTCTTCTTGTTGTTCTTCCCCCGCGTCTGTGGTCTGCGTGTCGACGTTGATGGTCTCCCCCTGAATCGTATGCGCCTGCAGCCAGACCGCCACAGCGGCCCCAAGTTGTCGAATTTCTTCTCCCCCATGTTGGATGAAGTTGCCCACTGCTCTGACGTTGCGTAGCAAGTGTTCAACTTGTTCTCGTGGGCTCCCCCATGGTTCCGACGGGGCTTCCTGCCCCCCTCTTCCAAGGCGACCACGTCGGCTGGGTGTGCGTAGTCGAGTTGCCCCTCTTCCTCCAGGAGCTCCTCCGCGTCTTGCAGGACAAATCCCAGCGCTTGTCCCCAGCCTGGTGCGTCCAAGTCGCCTTCCACTGTGGCTGCCATTGCTGTTTGCACCGCGTTCTGGGCTTGGTGTACTCCATCATGGCTGTGTCGAACTTGGAAGCCCCACATCCGCGGAGTCAGGCGCTGCAGTGAATATTCCCCCCTGTGAAGGTCCCCCAGGGCTTCCTTGAGGTCCTCATAGATCTGGTGTTGGTTGTACCCGTCTATTCCATCATCGTCTGCCAGATTCTGCAGCCTCACCCTTGCAATGTACAGCCAGTTGAGGATCCGGCGCTTCTTGCTCTCTCTCTCTCTCTCTCTCTATCTCTCTCTCCCTCTCCCTCCCTCTACCTATCTCCTTTCCAGCTGTCGATCTACCAATCTATCAGTCAATCTACCCATCTATTTCTGTCTATCTCAAGCTGGCTATCTACATACGTATGTATATATGTATGTATATAATATCTATGTATATATGTATATATATATATGTCCATGTGTCTATCTGCATATTCTAGATGTATATGTCATCTGTGTTTCGGGTTTATCATGCTGAGCAAACATCACGCCCCACCAGCCTCAGAGAGCCTGGACTCGTTCGCAACGCCCTCCCCTGACTCGCCTGACCTCGTCAAGAGTGTCAGCACACTGGCCCCATCAGAGAAAGCATAAACCGCATAAACCACCTGTGATTGGCTGCGCATGATGCCGGAAACAACTGCTGCGCAAGCTGAAGGGTTCGAGTGGCGTCGCAGCGGCTGAGATCTCTGCGACTCACGCTCGTGCAGGATTTTCTCCTGCGTGCCGTGAAAGTAAGCAGAGGAAAGCAGGATGACTCATGATGCTTCGTGGAACCATCCGGCTGGAGCTTCTCTCACGTAACATCTGTTCATCATCACCGGATCTGTTCTGTGAGGCCTTGCTCACGTAGTTTTGTAGGACAGAACGGCAGAGCCGCAGCAATCCTGGCAGCCACAGCTGAACAGTCTCCAAATGCAACGACTGCAAAGCATGCCACCAAAAAAGGACTTCATACAGATTTTGCTGATTGCGGAAGTGACATACTCCTTTCTTGATTGCCATACTCCTCTGTCATAAAGCATTAGTACAAAAACTTAGCAAATTGCAGATGGGCGGCTTGCTTAGCAATGACGCTGTTGCGAACATTGGCAGGCACGTTCGGTGACGAAGAGTTCGGTGACGAGAACTCGGCGATGGTTCATTGAAAACTCAAACATCGGTGTCTCGTGCATAGAATATGCCAGGCCTGACTGACGCATTCTGCAAAATGAATTCTCAATGCTCCTTTTTTTGCTGTCATCACAAGGTTCTCTTTCGAAGAGCGTCCTTAAACATATCTTGTAAAATATATTGATGCTCGTGGCCTTCCAGGACGTTTGCTTGCACATCGCGGCAGATCAGTGCCTGCTTCAAACGCTACGTGTGTCTTCAGGTCTTCTGGGTCAGCCCTTAGTATGTGTCCCAGAAGTTGTCTATCTGTTCCATCCATGTCATGGTAAACTTGTGAATGTGTGTATGATGAACCTTTCTCAGCATGGAGAATTTATGTTTGGCTGGTATAGGCCGGATCTGCACGAAGGTGGGGGGAGTCTTCAGCTTGCGTCGGAGGCTTTCATCTGGAATACATTATTTCATCTAGAGGTCGGCTGTACGCACTCTAGTCCGTCTATCACATTGCTTTTCACCCTTGCATCAAACACCCCGGGTGCTTTCCACTTCACCGCGAATGAGCCTTGTTCCAAAAATGTTGTAATCGGCTACGGTTCCGCAAAACTGTACATCCGACATTCGCAGCACAAACCCGCAGAAAATAATCAAAAAGCTGCAGAACCTTCTGCGGCTCTTATCAGGATTTTGCGATGCTTGCGACTGCTGTTCTTACCACCACTGTTGCGGTTCGTGTCGACGATCTCTTCGCACAGTGCTATGATTCTTGTCGGTCTGCATTCATGCTGCTCCTGCAGACGTTGATTGCATGTTCATTGCTGCGCTTGTCGTCAATATTGATGCTCTGTGTACGGCTGGTGTTGTTGCCAACTTTGCTTTAACATTGCTATCATTTGTGATAGTGGTGCTAGTACATGTACAGACAGTCCTACTCGCAGGGGTAGGAGTACCAGCGGCAAAAGTGATACTAGTCCCAGTCGGAGGAGTATAATATTGGTAGTACTTGTAGTTGTAGTGGTCGTCGTAGCAGGCGTCGTACGCGTCACAGTAGTCACTGTGGTGATGGTGATGGTGGTGGTCGTCGTCATCGTAGCAGCATCAGCAGCAGCAGCAGTAGCAGACGTCACAGCAGCAGTAGCCTAGCAGTAGCAGTAGCAATAGCAGCAGCATGGCAGTTGCGGCCAGCAACTGTGGCAGCCGTAGGTAGCAAGAGCTTCGAGGCATTGTAGTCGCATTAGCCACTCCAGATGAAGTTTCAGCAAATAAAAGACAAGACAGACGATCGAGTAGGATGCGTAGTGCAAGGACCCTGCAGTTCAGGGCAACGGAAACCTTCCCGGACCTCGGAGCCTCTGCTCCAACCTCCCCAAGCCTCCTGGGAACCTCACCGGCACCAGCATCGAACATCGAAGGAAGTTTCGATGATCACTCAGAACATTGCGATGAGGTTCCGAGGAAATTGGTAAAGATTCGGAGACTCTGAGGTTGTGAAGAGACCTAGTTGAAATGCCATTGGCTTGGCTACGAAATCCTCTGTTCTATGGTCGGAGTAGTAGGAGTGGGAAGAACCTGTAAGAGCCCGAGGAGTACTGCTGCCGCTGCTGCTCTTGGTGTTGCTGCTACTACAACAACGAGGCAGACGATTGACTGCCTCTACTCCCACTCCGATACTCCTGCGACTCCGACTACGACGACGACGACGAGGACTACCACTGCAAATACTATTCCTGCTACTTCGTCCTCACCTCGATGATGAAGACGGATACGACGACGAATGCGACGACCACACTGGTGGCAGCAAGGACGACGATGACGACATTGATCGTCTAGCTAGCACTCATCCTTGTGAGCCTTTCTCTTGTTCGGTCAGAGTTGGTGCTGCTGCACTTGCAACTGCTCAAGCACGCCGACGCGACGCTCCACCGCTTGGGAGGCAAACTCTGCTTCCTTCCGGGGATCGGCTTGCACCTCCGGCGGAGACTGCAAGGAGAGCAAGTGTGACATTGTCGTAGCTTGCGATGGAGTCTAGTAGTCTGGTGCCCTGTGCAGGGGCCTGGAATAGTATCCGCAGTGAGCAGCTGAGAGACTCCCGCTCTTGCTTGAACCTGCCGAGGCCAGTGAAGAGCCCCGAAGACCGCGGTGCAAGACACCAAGACATGCCCGCAGAACAGCCCGGGAAGCTGCTTCCTCAGAGAATCATCGAGAGAACGAATTCTGAAGCACCGTCTGGAACGTCTTTTCTGAGTACATGGTCTCCACATTCCGCACTTCACTGCTTTACATCGGCTGTTTTGCTTGCGCGAAGCTGCCGAGCCCGAGACATGTCCTTCATGAAGCCAAGCCTTTTGAGCGCTTGCCGCAGCTCGATCTGGCCATTGAACTCCTTCAATCAGGTACCGACTGCTCACTTTGCCCCGCTCATGGGCCAAAAATCTGACAATCCTTGCCCGAAAGCCCCACTGCGCCAAACCAGACGTCTCCTGAGCAAACTCGAAAGACTGCTGCAAGGCGTCCAGGAGCGTCATGAGGCTGCTTTCCGGAATGTTCCTGGAAGGGATTACTTGTACTGCAATGCACCAAATGGAGTTTGGGGCTTCCATCTGGATCATTATCAATCTTGTCGTGAAGACCAATACTTAAAATTCATAATGTTTCAAACAGTATTGCCCTGATGACTATCGGAAATAGGGTCACTGGTTGGTGTAGAATTGATGGAACGGATGTTCTATTAGCATTGCGACCGGCATTTTTCGCTTCGGCAACTACTGCTAGTTGCAATGCTATGCACGTTGTTCCGCTATTTGCAATTACCGGTGATGTCAGTCTTTCTGCTGTTGCCTCTCGTTTATACTGGCAGTCTTGGTCCAATAGTCGCAGTAGTAGCCGTCGTCGTGTCGTCGCCGACGCCGCCGTCAGAAATGTCGCCATCTTCGTCATCGCGGCAGTTGCAATAGCAGCAGCAGCAGCAGCAGCAGGAGCAGCAAGAGCATAAAGGAGCAGGAGCGAAGCAGGTGCAGCAGCAGCAGTAGCCGTTATGGTAGTACCACTATGAGCGGCAGCAGCAGCGTCGGCAGCAATAGTACTAGCAGCAAAAGCAGTGGCAGCGGAAACAGCCCAACTCGCCCTGTTGGGGTGGATGTTTGTTGTATCCCTGATATCGTGCATGTCGTGACTACCGCCATCACTACTAGCAGCGGTTATGACTATGATGTCTAGCTTGCTATTGGCAGTGACCGAGTGACTTGTGTTGAAGTGTGCCTGAGGGTCATCAGACATGCCGCGAGGCCTAGATATCTCTGCACCTCGAGTTCGGAGGGATTTTGTTCTGGAAGAAGGTGCTTCATCTACTATGGTGATTCGTTTCTTCAAAAGGCAGCAGCCGAGGCCACAATGCAGGCATCCCTCCAAACCCACAATGTACTGCGACGTTTTCTCACAGCACAGCACTGTCAGGACACTAGGAGTATATCATGCCCAAACATATTGCGCACGGTAAACCAAGACGATCCAACTGCCCGCTTAGGCCCACACTCGTAGTGCTGTGACAGAGCTTCCTTCAGCATGTCGCTGAGCAGGAGCTGCACCACGCACCTTGAGTCTTCGTTCTAGTCTGGTGCAGCGTTCCATGGCCCCGAGTCGGGGACTGGATCACGACATCCTCCTCGTTGAAGGGGAGCTCCAGAGAGGCCTTTAGACGCAGTCCCCATCTTCCAGACTTCCAGACCCCAGGCCAGGCCTTGTCGACTTCCATGAGCTTCCTTGGCATGTTCTCCTTGAAGAGCTCCAAAATGCAGTTGGTGACCTGGGTAGGAGGGGAGCACAAGCTTGGGGCCAGCTCAGCTGGCTTAAAAGCGACGGCTTCTCCGGCCTTCTGCCACAGGGGAGGGGTGAGGTTCTTTCCCGTGGAGAGCAGCAACTGCTTGAAGCCCTCCACACCAATTCGAGCCACTGCCTGGCCGCGAGGCCGTGGCCGACAGGCTTCGGCAGTGCAAAGCGTGGGGTTTCTGCGTTGAAGCATGCTCCCCTCCTCAAGCTCGTGCTGGATGCAGTTCGTGATCAAGCGGAGCACCTGAGAAAAGAACGACGGGCGTCACAGGTCACAGCAGAAACGGCTGAGGGCAGCACATCTTCCAAGAGGAATGATAGGACATCCAAGTGGGCTTCAATCAGCCTATCAACTGAAGCCCGGATGAAGCCCCGAGCCCCCCAAGAGGTGGGTGCGGAAATGGCCTCACCAGCTGCGTCAAGGCAAGCAAGCAAGTCGGGGGCCTAAAGCAAAACAACGAAGCTCCACTCGGAAAAATCGCCACAACTTTGACACTTGGCTCCAGGCCCCATGGAGGTGCTATGGCTTGCATCCCGGCGACCCTGATGCGGCGCAAATCCCAAAGTCTTGACAGGAGCTATCAGATGCAGGACAGAAACTTCGGCAGTTCTGGCATAGCGCATCAGGTGCTGCAGGTAAGCAAATCTGGCTGCCCAATAGCTCAAAGGACGAGCAACTTAATAGGTTGCTATGCCAGTAACTGACCAAGAGGCACACAGAAGCTTTCCAGGACACCTGTTCCTTCTCATGGCCAGTGAGCGGTAAAAGCATTGTGGGAAGCAGAGCTCTTGGAATTGAAATCTTGGCACACCAGCTTCCGATCTAGACTCCTTTGAGTAGAGACGGTACAGATGACGAGACAAAGAGCTGACGTCTGCGCCACACCAGAGCTGTTCGACGAAAGAGCCCATCCACGCTCAACAAATCTCAGTCGACGCATCCCAGGAGCGATGAAAACAGGCCTGGCACTCGCAGGGCGTCCTTCATGCTGCCTGCCATGAGTCCTCGACTATCAGCTTCCGATCCTGTCTTTCTTCAGGGGGGGCAGATCAGATGACGAGTAACATGCTTCTCATCACTGCCACACACTGACTGTTCGGCGCCGGCACCCATAAACGACCAAGACGAGAAAGGTGCTGCAAGCAACAAAAGCATCCCGTGGGGGAGGAGTCCGTTGTCACCTCAAGCAACAAGAGTCTCATCACAAGAGGTGTTGGACATCAGCGGCCACACGCGATCAAGGAGATTTTAGCTAACACATCCGCTCAGAACGACGAAAACCTTTTGCAAGGAAGCATTAGCATATCCCTCGATCCACCAAGCGCATGCTGGAACTATCAAACGAGGGCTCAACTATCAGCTTCCGATCTTTCTTCAGAGGGGCAGACCAGATGACGAGTAACATTCTTCTGCTCACCGCCCCATCCACCATAAACAGAATTTCAGTCAACACATCTGC